ATGGAACAAGACAATTTATATTTGAACTAAGAAAAAAACCATTGCATTGTCTTATTAGAAGTTCATATTATCTAATCATCTTATTTTAAGAGTAAAGATACTACTTCCATTGTCAAATCATCTCATTTACCTGCTCAAATTAAGGGTAAATACACTTAGTTTAAGAAATTTTTACTTATTTCTAGATAGTTTTTGTAGTGTGCGTTCACGCCCACCACCAACAAACCTCTCAATCTGCTGCCACCAAAAACTTTCTTTCTTTATTTTTATTTTTATTCATTTTTTTTATTTTTTTTTTTTGAGCGGGTGGTAAACAGCAGCTAGGTTAATACTGCGTTCAAATAAATCTTTTTATGCATGCCGGGCGCCTCCGGGCGCATCGCTGCAGCAGGGGAGCAGCTTTAATCGACGTTTCATAATGCCGATGGGCATTACGCTGCCGTGTGTTATGCAGTAGTTAGGCCGTCGTTTGACAGAAGTTCTGGACTCGTTACGAAACTCCATTTATACGCCCCCAAAAAAAAAAATCCATAGAAAGTTTGCCGTATGCTACCGTTTTAGGAGATTCTGGGACGTCAGACATACGCTGGATAAATCAGCAAGGTGTAACAGGGGCCTTAGCTGTCAGCAGGAAAGTCAGAAAGAGTTGGAAACCAACTCAGACTGTCACCCAAGAGAAAACCTTTAACTGCAAAGATGCATAGAAAATTAAAGTTCAAGATTTAATAGAAAGTTCATGACATTGTGCTGATCTAGAAGCTATAAAGGAAACTTACAGAACTGGTTTTGGGTCCAGTCGCTGCTGCGCTGTCTCGAGCCAAGGCTACGATGACATTGCTCTTCTCTCCAGCCCAGTGAACCACCATCTGGTTATGAGAGTCGTTCAGGTTGGCCTGTCGGGTACACATCAATCAAAGCAAAGAATCAGATTTGAATATAAAAAAATATATACATTTTTTTATTTAGAGCTCAGAATTGTGCAGATAATTCTCAGTTTCAGTGAAATATTGTAAAATATGACTCCATCTTCTACGTAACGTTCTGTTGGAGCAGTGGCTTAGCTGTAGCTGAGAGGAAGCAGTTGGATCAGCTGATCGGGAAGAACAGCTCTGTGATTGGATGCCCTCTGGACTGGAGGAGGGGGGAAACAGATGGATCCTAACTAAATGAACATCACTGTTGGATAATGTCTCCCCCCCATGCATGAAGCTGGTGCTGAACTGGAGAGCTCCTTCAGTGACAGCCTGCTGCACCTTAAATGCACCAGGGAGCGTTATCACAGATCCTTCCTCCCAGCAGCTGGAAGACTCTAGAACCACCACTGTTCCCAAAAACATGTTTTCACATTCATGCTGATTCTGCACAGTTTCTACCTTAATCAGATAAATAACCTGCTGATGTCATTATGCTGTTGCTGCTATTTTCAAATATCCATTACTGGAAAAAGTTGGTTATTTATTCTGCAGGTGAAAATTATTTATATTGTTGAAACACTTTGCAGTACAGTGTTTTATCGTTTATCTTTTCACTCTTAACTATTATGTTATTCTTAAACACTTTTCTAATGTCCACATTTGTGTGACCATTTTTTTCTATAATCTTTTTGCTGCTTTAAACTCTAGAATTTCCCCATTCTGGGACAATAAAGGATTTTCTATTCTATAGTAAAATAATAATAGTGACTAAGAGACAATGCAACTCATTTCTTCTCACATGGTTTGCTTTAAAGGTACACTATGCAACCGGTGTTGATTTTCCAGTGAGGCTCCCCCCAGAGGGCGAAAGTAAAAGTGCACTGTCGTAAATATGCTCAGCTGTTCTCCTGGTTTCTCCGTCAAGCCAGGCGCGGTTGTTTTGAGCTTAGCAGACAGGCGAACGCAACGAATCACCATGTAAGTGACTATTTTGTTACAATTTTCGAGTT